TCGCACTTTTATGTACCTACACACACAACCGGATGAATTTTACATATTAATTGTTCTTGGGGGATTGGGGCGGCGGGTGGGGGTGGGCACTATTGTCTAGGGGCCTTTGTGGGGTTGACAAATTAATGGGATTGAGGAATAATTCGCTGGGAATAATTAATTTCGGGGGCGGGAAATGCAGAAAGTGGACGTATGCAGTGGAATAATGGAGATTTGGGGGAAAAGGGGACGGGGAAAGAAAGCTCCGGTGATGCTCCAATTTGAGAATATTTCACGGAGAGAAATTTTTTAGACAAATTCTAGTGCTGGCACGGGAAAAGAGGCGCAAAGTGACGGCCAGGAAAAAATTCCAGTGCAGGCAGAAATTTTATTGGGGAAAACGTGAATTTTTTCCCGTATTTCTGTGAAAATTTCACAAAGTAAAATGAGAAAAAACGAACAGTGAATGCAGGAAGTGGACATATCCGATGGAATAATAAAGATTGTAATGAAAAAACAAGCGGAGGAAAACAGGGATTTTTATAGAGGTCAATGTTTTGTGACCTTGAGAATATTTAGAGGATCACGTGGTTGTCCCACACTTCTCTCTTTTGATGGAATGAACAGATAAAAAAAGTTACCATAATAATCGCTATAATTTCAGTGCACATTGAGATATAAAAATAAATCAACTCGAGGGAAAATTTATTTATATAAATTCCCGGGAAATGCAGTTAGAGGATAGATGCAATTTGATAACGAAAGTGAAATGAGAAAAAAAGGGGAGCAAATGTTGAAAGTGGGAATATGCGATGGAATAATAAAAATTTAATGGAAAAAAGAGGAAAATAGCGATTTGCAGATGTTAAGGTTTTCGTGACCTTGAGAATATTTGGAGGATCTTGTGAGAAAATGAAATGTCAAATCTTCCGATCAGCTTTTGATGAATATCTGGGAATTCAAGGAAAATATATAATAGACGATGGAGTGAAATTTTGTTTTGTGGGAATAAACGGATGGAAAAAATGCACCATAATGATTTCGCTACACTGATAGAAAGCATTAGTTATTGTTAAAGTAGCGCGCTCTACCCTTCGGCCGGTCTACGCTGTACTTTTGGATATTTTCGGTTTTTAAATTTTTCTACTAAATTGCATGGAAAATGTTTGAAAAAATTCATACCCAGTCAGTATTATCCAAATGAAATTTCGCAAAATATTGACATTTTTTCAAACATTTCTCTCTTATAAATGAATAATAAAACTTGTTTGCAAAACGGCGGATTATTTTTCATGAGATTTCAAGAAAAATTCTTGATTTTTTCACATCTAATGAAAAAAAATCAGATTTTAATCTTTGATTATAATGGAAATGTTGATTTTCACATAAGCCACTGGGTTAAATCCTGATTTTTCAACATTTCTTCTTTGAAAAACCGAAACGATAATTAAATTGAGAAAAAAAATAGAATTCCGGGTCTAATCGAGTTTGCAATTTTTTTTTGCAGTTTTCAATAATCTTTGCATTGCCCGGTGGCCTGGCGTAGTGGTTAAGGCCGTTGCCTCACAACGGATAGGTTCCAGGTTCGATTCCTGGCCGGGTAGAATGGTGAGATCTAACCATTTTTAAAGTCTTGATCAATCGCCATATAGTCTCATCAGACTCGAAGCGATATAAAATAAGCATAAAAAAAAAAAAAAAAAATCTTTGCATTTACCGTAAGGGCAGAGCTACTTTAACGAATGGATTTGATTGGAGACGAGGGTCTATTTGCTCTCACCAAATGTTCATTCATTAATAGTTGACAAATGCACATTTGAGAAGGCTTGTTTAACTCGATTTTCACCTTTGAAGTTGACTGTTAACTATTAACGAATATTCATTTGGTCATGTTCAACTCTACCATTCGTTAATAAAATAGTCATTTATTCCAAACGAGATTCGTTTATCAGTGTAGCTCGAATATATATTAAGATATAGAAATAAATCAATTGAAGGGAAAAACTACCTATATACATTCTCGAGGGAATGCAGTGAGTGGACGTATGGAACGGAATAACAATTTTAAACTCAAACAAGGGGAGGAAACGAGGCTCTAGGGACTTGTAGACATCTGGATTTTTGGTGACCTTGAGAGCATTTGGGGGTCATCTGGGGGAATGAGAGCTGGAAAGATATATCCTGACATCTTGATATATCCTGTCAGCTTCAGTATTGATGCATTTTTTGGAAATTCAACTCGAAGTGGAATTCACTTTTATAAATTATCGAGGAAATGCAGTAAGTGGGCGGATGTAATGAGAAAACAAAGATAGAAGAAGGAAAGGAATGAGGATTTTTGGTGATGACTTGGAGAACATTCTGTAGTAAATTGGGGGAACAAGATGTGCCAATAACATGGGATGAGCTTCTCATGAATATCTGGGGGTTTATAAAAGATGGAAAAGAAAATTACGAGATCTTTAATTTTTTGCCTCAAAAAAAAACTGAGAAATCTAGAAGAGTTTCACAAAAATTTCGGTATGTTGGCCTTGGTTTTACATAATTTTTTTTATTACTGCACAGGAGTGTGAGATGACAAAAAAAGAGACACACATATTTTAATTTCAATAAATAATGAAGAATTAAAAAAATTGACGCAATGCAGAAATTTCCTCCATCGGCTGCAACTCCCAGATTTTTCAAAGTAAAAAAATTCGCGTCGAATTTTTTTTTCTTTCATAATTTATTCGATGAAAAAAATTTATACAACACCCCAATTGTCAATTGATCAGAGTCTGGCCTGACATTTCACCTCAACCCACTAATCATCACGGTAATTCCACATTCAAACAGAAATAAGAAAATAATAAACTCCTACTACAATTCAACACTTCAATGCAGAACTGCCTCCAGTTAATTAAAAAAATAATGACTTCCTGTTTTGCCGACCCACCAAACAAAAATAAGGGCTAACAGCCGCAGAATTTTTGCAAAAAAATTATGAGAAAGCAAAAGAGTTTTACAAACATTTCAGCATCTTTGCTTAGAAGCAAATTTGTACTGAAATCTCAACATCTCTATTAATTGAGGTTTACACAATTTTTTTATAATTACATCGGCAAGCGGGATGAAAAAAAATAGACGCACATGTTTTAATTTCGATAAATACTAAAAAATTGATAAATTATAGGCAATTGGAAATCTCTGCATTATGCCCCCGTGTCATAATTCCGATTAACGAAATATTGTGACGTCACAGTGCAGAAATTTCTTCAATTGGTTGTAACTCCTCAATTTTCAATGATTTTTAAAAAATAAAAAAAACGTGCCGAATATTTTTCATGTTTCATAACTTTATGCAATAGTAGGGGATGTTTCATAACCCTTATCCTTACCCTTGTGACCCTTATTCTGATAATCGTGACCCTTAATGTGACCATTTTGACCCTTATTCTAACCCTTGTGACCCTCGTGAGCCTTAATTTTGGAGTCTCATTTTCGCGTACCAAATTTTTATCACCAGAAGTCAATTTAGATTTTTATAATATAGAGAGAAAAAAACATACAACAACCCAATTGTCAATTTATCTTGAGTCTCTCTTGAAATTTCCCCTGAACCCACTAATCATCGCGATAACTCCGCATTCAAACAGCAGAAAGAAAAAAATAAACTCCTGTTACATTTCAACACTTCAATGCAGAACTGCCTCCAGTTAATTAAAAGAATAACGACTTCCTGTTCTGCCACCCACCAATTGAAAATGGTGGGTAACAGCCCCTGAATCCTTAAGGTACAATCCATAATTCAATAATTATCCCCTCAGCGATACGTCTGTCATAAAAAATATGTGAAATCGATAAATTAATGGGAATGCAATGAAAATACACGTTATTATTTCATGTGGGTAGGAACACGTGTTTTAACGGGCCATCCGTCGTCGAGTCACGCACTGAGGCCTTCTGTGGACAGAAGTCACCAAGTAGGTTTCTCGTTGAAAGCAGGATGTAAAGCGTGATGCGCTAGAGAGAACTATCCAGCCGCACACTGATGTTACTCCTCGCGTAAAATACTCATTGAGATGCATCTCGCGTTGTCTCTCACTGTAGCCGTCGGACCGGAAGTCCCTGTCATATACGCACATTGTCGCACGGGCATCCGGTGAATCCCCGCTGTACTGAGGATAACATTCTTTTGAGAAATTTCGAATTTAGAACGGTTATCAAAATCGCAAGCACTTAAAACATTTTATTTTTATTTTATTTCATTTTTTATTTTTTTTATTTTTATTTTTATCTTTATTTATTTTTATTTTATTAATTTTGTTTTATTTTATTTTTTTCAACTGATAGAGTTGTCTTCTTTATGTTGATAAAAAATTTACTGCACCAAGCCGAGTTGATTTTTGCTTCCCAATAGAAGCTTTGTAATCGTTCAAATTCAAGTTTTGGATTGTTTGGGTTATATCGACCCAGTATCATCCAAAATTACGAAAATGTAATTTTTAGACATCGTCCGTACGTGTGAATGGATGGAATTGAATCTTTTTTTTGTCACATGCACACGGAGAGAAAAATTAAATAAAAATTACGCGCGAAGTAAAATTCAATAAAAAGTGTGAGTCGGAACTGAAATTGTACGAATCGTCACGTAAATTCTACGATTTGTTCCGTAAAAATTAAGCACCCATCTGATGACTCTCGCTGTGGGACCATCAAGTCGTTCCGTAATTTTTCCCCAACGATTGAGAAATTTTACGGAACGGAACGTAAAAATAATTAACCAGCTTTATAAAGAATTTTTGAACGTTCAAGAATTTTTGATTTTGGAGGCATAATAAGTCGGCAAATTTCTGTAAGATTTTATTTCGTTGGGAAAAATTACGTGACAATTTCGTACTTTGTTCGGTGATGAACCTGAAAAAATTCAATTTTCGGAAAATGAACAAACATCCTTAATTTCCTCAATAAAGTGGCAGCTAAAAATTCCCATCACAACGATTATTTGATTTTATTGATCTTTTTTTTTTGCTTCCTTTCAGCCGTGTATAATTGGAGGGGCGATACGAGGTATGGGCTACCCCTCGAGATTGGCGAGACGGTGCAGATATTGGAAGAATGCGCAGGTAATGAAACAGGGGAAATTGTTTGGATGAAAAATTTTTTTTGAGGGATAAATGGGGAATTTTATTTTCGCAATATCATGAAAACTTGGGGAAAAAACATTTCCTGTAGATCTTTGAATGTGTTTTAAAGTTTTTATTTTCCCCTCCTTGAGGATATCCAAATACTTTTTACAATTTTGCATGAATTTTTGAGAATTTGAGGAATTTATAAATAATCGACGTCGTTTTTATTACATTTAGCAAAAAACCTTTACTTTCAAAATTTTTTTCTTATGAAAAAGTAATGCAAATACTTTGAACTTTCGGGAACTATATTTTTCGGACATAAAATAAACTGATGATTTTAAAAAACTGCTGAAACTTTTTGGCTGACAATTTGATTGTCCATTTTCTAAATAAAAAGAGGTAGTGATCTTAAGAATCTAATTCTCTACATTATTTTATGAATTGTTGTCCGAAAGTAGACTTTCTATTTTTTTTTGATTATTAAACATTAAATGTAATGTAAAATTAATGTATAATGTAAAATTAAATTTAAATCTTCAAACTTGAAATAATAGAATTATTGCAAAATATTTTTCTGAAAGATCAAGCTGAAACAAGCGAAATATTCGACAGAAAAACATTGAATTTAGGGGATTTTTGAGGGTTCAAGGGTCAAACAATGCCATGAGCAAACGCTGTTAAAAAAAAATTGTTTACGGTCGATTACTTATTTTCAGGACAGTGACACTGAATGCGATTTAGGGAACAAAAATCATAAAATTTCAGGTTTCACTAAAAATTCAGTAAAATTCCAGAATTTTAACCCTCGATCACTCGCGCGCGGCCGCCAGTTTTCGTCGCACGATTAGCTCAGCGCTGCTGGGTTAAACCGAGCGCGCTGTTGCCACCTTGGCGCTTACCGCTATACGCGCATACCTAGTGTGGCAGTGAATGTAGCAACACTGTCGCTCGAGGGGTCGACAGAGACTCACTCGCACCGACCGGCGCGGCACCGCTTTTCCGTCTGTTCGACGTTTCTTTTCATTTTTTAGCTAAACAAATTTTCCGAGAAAAAAACGGACAACCCCAAAGTTTAACAAAATGATTGAAATAGGAACTTTAATTTTTTAAGAATTTTTAAGCATCGAAAAACACGCAAAAATATAAAAAAACAAAAACGAGCGGCGCCGCGCTCATTGAGCGAGTGATCGAGGGTTAAGCAGCCTAAAGACGAGAACCCCTGAATTTGTGGGAATTTCTTATCTAATATGAATATTCAGTGTCAAATTACATTGAATGTCCAGTGAAATCTGAAATTTCATGATTATTTTGCACCTCAATCGCATTCAGTGTCACTGTCCTGAAAATTGAAGAATATATTTACCGGAATTTTCTGGTTTTCTATTCATTTTCAGGGAAAAATGGAACTGAAATTTACAGTTCTCTTTGAAATTCTGAATTTTCAATGACAAAATTCCTTGAAATTTCAGTGGTAAATAAATTTTTAACCATTTTTTACCAAATTTTTTGCCAAAAATTTTTAACAATTAACTTTTTTTAAATGTGAACGAGTCAAAATATTTTTCACCCCTACATTTATCCAAATCAAATTGTCCGCTGGTGAGTCTTTCGCTAGTTTCACTAGCGTTGGAAAGAATTTCACTTTTTTCACTGCAAAAAAGGTCAGAGTACTTGGCTATCCTTAATCCTAAAAGTAATATAAAAAATAATGTCTCCCCCTTTGGCACTGAAAATAATATAAAAAAATTTCCTCCCAAAGACTGGTACCGCGGTTTTTCCACGAAGAATCGTGCAGTGAAGGGCATATTTCCAAGTTCCTATATTCACCTAAAGCCATGCAAAATAGAAAACGAGGGCCTCTTCGAGTCCGTTATACCCGTCGAGGATCCTGTGGTGAGGGAAGTCACCCTCGTACTGCGGGAATGGGGCTCTATCTGGAAACGACTATACGTAGTGAGTATAAAACGTCTGCCAACAATTTTTCTTCATTTTTTTTATCACGCTCGTTTTTTTCCCTCTTCATCCAGGGGATTTTTATTTGCCCCGTATTTTTTCGCTCTCCGTGGACGTTTCACTTCATTTTTTGTCTTCGTTGTTGTGTGCTTTGTATATTTGGCTTCATCCTTGCTTTTTAATTTCACACAAGTGTTTCACTTGAGACTTAAGGCTTTTGTAAACATTTTTGCTTTTTTTGGGAACTTCACATTTTTATTTCGGAAATTCTCTGGGAATAATGGGGCAAACATATCCAATATTATTAATTTTGAAGGGGAATTTTTGGAAAGAATTTATGAATGAGGAATTATCAGTTTTAAACATGTTTAATCATTGAATTGAAATTCATCTTTTCTGAAAAAAAGCATGGGCAATATATCGAACGTCTTGCGTCGAATTTTCATGAAGCACGTCTAACAAAAGAGAATTGAATACCATTCTATGAAACAGGAATAAATAAATCATAATTGTCGAAATCATTTAGGTCAGAGGAAAATAGAATAATTCTACTTTCTTAATATTGCGTTTACTAATTTTTTCCTCGAACAAAGTTGATTAGAATTAATAGCTAGAATTTTGAGATTATCTCACATTTTTTACGTTAAGGATAAGAGAATCTGAATGCAATACAGTGAAAATGATGATAGATTTTCCACTTTGAACAAACCATATTAATATCCAAATACAAAATTTCTGATATGAATAAAAAGAAGCTGTGACTCAATATTCCAAATTAAGTTTTAATTTTTAATTTGGTGCTGAAAACACTAGATGACAATATTCTACGCACGGAATTATATTGATGAGATGAACAACAGATTTATTGAATTACCGTGTGAACTAACTAAAAATTGATAACTGTGTGGGCACGCACTTTTACCAGAGTATCAACAAACATTGAATTTCAGAAATTCACACTCTAAAGTGTGTTCAAGAAGGAATTGAATTGTAATTATGATTAAAGTCTTATTAGATGATTTATGATTAAAGTCTAATTAGAACATAAGCAAATCATTTATTGCAATATGAAAATTTAACAGCTGATAAATTGGGACATATGATTCTCATCAGTCGTATTGCTTTTTGCAATAAGAACAATTATAAACAATTAATTGAAAAAGAGATTATCGAATCGGTTCTGAAAAAGCGCATAATGAAAGAGCATCCACTAGCATAATGAAAAACTGGAATGAAATTCCCCTCTAGATACAGAGAATCCAATCAGAAAATACGGTATTAAATCAGATTGTCTTACTATTTCAATCCTGAAAATTCTTTCAATGAAGTTTGATAATGAAAAACTGCAATAAAATACTTCTCTTGATGCAGAATCTAATAATAAAATACAGTATTAAATCAGATGATTTTACTATTTCAATCCTGAAAGTTCGTTTAGAGAAAATTTCCATATTTTCACATGATTTTTCTCCTCCGTGTTATCTCATTTTCTCCTCGTATCGACCTGTGCGTCTCAGTGCCAAGCGACGTGAATTTTCCCGGAGTGAAAATCCCGTGAATCACATCCACTGTGCCTTATCTCGATTCACCATAAAAGCACATGCACAACAACGAAAAAAACTATCTTCGAGACTTGATGCAACATGAAATATCACATTGGACTTTATTCACCAGCTCCACTGACTCATGCACAATGTGTCCTTTGTCAACAGGAACGAGAGATATACAAATTCAACACACTGAGGAAAGTTATGCGGGAACTTTTGGAATGGCGGAGGCAATTATTGGCTGGCACATTGACCACCGATCAAACTCGAGAGCTCAAACTTCGGATTATCAACAAGGTCGACTGGGGAAATCGGTGAGTGTGTCAAACTATCGTTGCAGGGAACGTGCATAATTTTTTTTTGCAGGTGCATGCACATTCACGAGGAGATAATTGCAGTATTATGATTTTTTTTTCATTGAAGTTTGCAGCGATTTTTCGCTTTCAGAGCGTTTTGAGCGATTGCTGCGATTAAAAAATGACGTGGAAATTGATGATTACATGTTTGTAGAACATGTTCTGTGACGCTCAATTGAATTTACGGTGGATGGAGGACATTTTAAAGTTTATTCTCTTGAAATACTCGGGATTTATTCGCGTTTTTTAACATTAGATTGGATTTCCTCTCGAAGAATTGAGGATTCAACTGTAGAAAATATTATTATGTTGGGGAATCACTTCGTTTAAATACTTACGTGAGTATTTTAGAGGCTATCGGGGAATATGTAAAAAATGAAGAGGACAAAAAGTCCAATAAAAAATGTGTGAATTTTTTTTCACAAAAGTTTGCAGCAGTTCTTCGCTTCCAAAACGTTTTGATCAATGATTGTTAGGTTTATTACGATGGAAAATGTCGTGGAAATTAGTGATTTCACGATCGTAGAACTTGTTTTATGGCGCTGAATTGAGTTTACTGTTGGCGGAAGAGAATTAAAAATTTATTCTCTCGAAATGCTCGGGATTTATTCGCGTTTTTTACCACTGGATTGTTTTTTCTCAGTACAAAATGCGGATTTAAACCTGGAAAATATTATTAAATTGGGGAATCATTTCCTTTAAATACTTACGTTAGTATTTTAGAGATTTTATCGGAGAGCATGTTATGGATAAAAATTGAAGGCGACAAAAAGTCCAACAAAAAATGTCTGTTTTTTTTCACGAAAGTTTGCAGCAATTCTTCGCTTTCAAAACGTTTTGATCAATGATTGTTAGGTTTATTACGATGGAAAATGTCATGGAAATTGGTGATTTCACGATCGTAGAACTTGTTTTATGGCGTTGAATTGAGTTTACTGTTGGCGGAAGAGAATATAAAATTTATTCTCTTGAAATACTCGGGATTCATTCGCGTTTTTTAACATTAGATAGGTTTTTTCTCGAATAACTGAGGATTCAACTGTGGAAAATATTATTAAATTGGATAATCACTTCGTTTAAAGACTTTTGTAAGTATTCTGGGGACTTTATCGGGAAAAAATGTTATAGACAAAATGTGAAGCTGAGGAAATTTCACGAAAGGTTGCAGAAATTCTTCGCTTCTAAAATGTTTTGATCAATGATGAACGATTATTACGATAGTAAATGTCGTAGAGATTCGTGATTACATGCGTGAAGAACATGTTTTATGACTTTCAATTGAGTTTACAATTTTTGACGAAGAATTTTCAATTATTCTCTCAAAATACTTGAGATTTATTAGCATATTTTACCATTATATCTTCTTCTTCTGAAAAATTGAGAATTAAAGCTTAATAATCATTTCTAAATTGAAGAATCACTTCCTTTAAACACTTTCGTGAACACATACAATGCTTTACCGAGTGAAAGTATTATGGGCAAAATAAAGCTGAGGAAATTTCCATAATTATCATCACGTCAGTTACCAAAATCGTGGAAAAAGAAAGAAACACAATTTAATCCTTAAATATTCCATTACATTCATATATTTTCATCACTCAAAATTCTTAAAATCTATTTTAACATATTAGTATAAATCTAAGAAAGGCAGTTCCACCTAATAACTCAATTCGTACTCACTCTCGTCCCTAAAACATATCACTTAGCTTCATGCGTCGATTTCTACCCAGACGACTACGTCGTGCTGGTCGTAATACAACTAATAAACTATGAATTGCATACTCAAGTTGAATAGAAAGATAAACCATTCATCTATATAAAATCCTCGTAAATTTATCGTCTGAGAGTCTTCATCTTTGAATTCAATTCAACTACAGAATCCACACGCTCTTCGTAGACAATTCGAGTTTGAGAGGCTTTTCTGGATAATTTAACGATACGTAATAATGAGATCAGCAGCGATGTGACCAAATCATCTGAGTAAATGTCTACAATTTCCCTAGTTGGAGCAGTGCCTCTACAACAAGTGATTTTATTTCTCTCACCTAGAAAAAATGTTAATGTTAGAAGCTCATGAATGCGATAATCATGATATATTTGCATCACTATCAAAACTTTCAAATTCGAGTGAAATCACTCCATGACTCATTATCACTGATCAGTACACTGATAGAAAAAATTATTTTTATTGAAATGTTTCTTTCTTGGAACAAGTATTATATACTTGAACCAATTTCAAATAAATAAGATCTTACGGTGAATATCAATAATTTTTTCTTGCGATACATTTATTTGAATCAAATAAAACAGTCCTTGATGTCAAGTCACACGTATTCACCACAAAAATGGAAAAGTTCTATTTTTTTTTAACCTAACATACTCTCCAGTCGAGACATTTTCTACTTTCATGAATTGATAAAAAATTCGTACCAAGGAGATGATTACATTGAGGAATGAATTGAATGTTGCTTTCTCGAATGAAGCCGATGTTTCAATTGAGCTTTCTATACATCACATTGAACGAAATTTGTGATATCCAAGTTTGTGTAGAATTGCCGTAATCTGTGATTTTGTTATTGTAAACTAATGTGATTTTTTTAAGTCAAGAAATATAAACTTCTTTCAACTCAACGAGGTCTTGCTACAATCTCAAAGCTTTTTCCGCGTAACAATATTCATCCTGATTCGACATACGAAATGCTCACTTCAATTATAATTTACTTGGAACAACGTATGATCGTGTTGCTTGAGATAACAACGTATTTAGTCATGAGAATAATTTTGATTTTTGAGTAAACCAACGAATTTCTGGAGTTAGCAAACTTTTGGCTAGAAAGAAATCAAATACTCTCATTATTGCGATGAATAAAAGGAACTTCAATTCTAGAGACATTCGATTTCGGCCAATCAAAGGTATCTGAAGAAGAGATAACTGGTATTCACTATGAAATCATGTTTATCGTAAAATTAACAACCGAATGATAGTTGATTTTAATAAAATTCTCTTGATAAAATTAATTTTTTCTGTCATGTAGAGAATTCACGGTTTTAGGAGAAAATGTGAAACACTCTTTGTTGATCTGAGAATTTTCAACAAAAAAAGTCTTCCGTATTTCGTTCTAAACCCAATAATTGGAATTTTGCATTATTTCTCTCACCGGTGGATACGGAAAATTAATTAAAAAATATTAGAGTGTATTTTGGTTCCGAATGGAAGCTTTGTAATCGTTCAAATTTAAGTTTCGGATTTTTTGTGTTATGTGGACCCAGTACGATCCAAAAAGTCCGTTATGCAATTTTTCTTCAATTGTTCGCTAATGAATGAAAGGAATTGAATCTTTCTTTTCAAATGTAGGTATTATTGAGCCCTATTGATCCCCATTAATTAAAATTTAAATCATTGATGATTTTCTTTCATTTTCGAATTTTTTCGAAAATCGATTGTCTTACGATAACTTAAAAAAATGTTCTGAATTGATTGAATGATGGCTTAAAAAAATTGTTTGGATGTTCTTTCGACAGAGTTCGTCGAAATCGTTATTTTGATTTATTTGAAAATTTGCAAAAATTTTGTATGTTTTGAAAATCAGAATTCCGGGGACATCTTTGAATATCATTCTTCAAATGAATTCAATCATAGCTTAAAATGTTTGCTTTAATTCCATCAAGTCGAAGTTAAAAGATGATTACGATAGCTGTATTGGTTGATTTGATTTTAATGATTGTTGAAAATTTCGAATTTTTCATGAATTTTCCTAAACGTGCGCCTTCTGATGATTTCTTCAAATATGATGTTTCAAATTCATGCAAGTATGTCTAAATAAAATTTTTCTTCTAACATTTAATCGAAGGGCTGAGGGAGAGATAAAATGAACCGTAAAAAAGACAATCGATTATATAGAAGAAAGGGACAATAAGAATAACGCTGACGATAGCATTCAACAAAGTTGAAAACCTGACAAAATTAGTTAAAAAGAAATCTTATTCAATTCAATAAAATAGAATAAACAATGAATTACACATGATAGAAGGAAATGATGTGCAAAATAACCAATCGGAAGCATATTGCTAATTTATTAGTAAAAATAACTATCCTATACACAAAACAAGAGCAATTCCCCACTTGTTTTCAATTCATAAGTCGTTTAAAATTTCTAATTGGAAAGACAAAACTTACGTCTTCAATATAAACCAAAATATCCGATATTCGTCCAACGAAATTTCATGAAAGAGCCCAATTACCAAGACAATTAGCCTTCGCTGCTGAACTGAAGAAGTAATAAGCCTTAGTTTAAAGATAAAATCATCGAAGGATAAAGGATTCTAAGTATCTGACGAATCCTGATCGTTATGCATTGAATCATCAATTGGTCCCGTTCCGTAGAGTACAGTGTCCAGGGGCAAATCGGATCATAACTCGCAAACAATCACCGCAATGAGATTCAATCTCAATAGTCTTACACTGGCATTTGAATAGAACCATGGGGAGAGTAATAAATGAATGAGGATAACAGTTGACTCAAGGACGGCATTGAGATGGAGCGATAACTCTAAGGTTTACTAGTCATTTTTAAGACACACTTGGCACCTTTGTCTTGTTACTTTATTGAGCAACTAACTCCTAGTCTCTAATGATCGATGATTAGCGATTTATTACGATTAAAAATATGTCGTGGAATTCAACGATTACAAGTTTATAGAACACGTGTTATGGCGCCCTGGACGGATCGTGCACTCAGTTGAGTTTATCATTTTTCGAGAAGAGAATTTACCATTTATTTTCTTCGATTACGAGAGATTTATTTGCTCATTTCATCAGTATATTGTTGTTTCTTGAATAATAGGGGGGTGAAGCATGAAGAATATTATTAAAATTGCAGAATCACTTTGTTTAAATACTTTTGTAAATATATCGAATACTTTATCTAGCAAAAAACATTCATTTTCAACTGGGTTCGAGTTTTTTTTTAATTGAGCTGTTGCATGAAATTTTTTTATCCCTTAACCTTAGACTGGTCACCATGCGAGGGAATTGCCGCAACATGTCGTTTTATTCACCTTGTCATCGACTGGTTGACCGGAAAAATTTGAGAAAAATTGAATTTGTCAATTGAAGTATGTGGAAAATTCTAGTATTTTTTTTTTCAGTATTGTATCCTTAATTCTGGGAGAAAAAAAATTATTTCCAACAGGTGAACAATTTTTTTCATCACGCTGTGACAAAAAGTGAACTTTTCGGCACGCTCCGCGTGCCTAAAAGTCCAATTTCTCTTTCTAACTCGTGAAAAAATGTTTTTTAACTCGTTACGAAATATACTATTTCCGTTTTAAATGAAATTGCCTGTTGCGCGACGTTGCTGGGAACTCGCTAAACGCGCCCGGGAAGTGTAGAGTGGATTCGGCAACGCTGGAGCCTAAATAACACGGCGGCACTCTCTCGCGAGGTGACTAAAGTCGCATTTTCCCGTCAGGTGACCAGACTAGGGTTAATATCGTAACACATCTACCAGTCATGCCCAGGGGGAAAAAACTGCATTATGACGTCACAATGCTGACATTTTCAATTCTCAATAACTTCTTAATCGTCCGTTATTTACGAGAATATGTCGTGGAATTTAAAAGAATGGGTTCATCTGTAAAGATGAGAAATGAGCGTGACTTTCGTTTCAGAATGCACATTAGTCTAATACAAAATGAATTCAAATAAAAATTGATAAAGCAAAAATGAAGTTGCATCTACATAGATGAAAAATGACTGTCATCTTTTTGGAATTGTTACAACTGTCATAAATGCCTCGACATATGAGGGATCATAAGACGCATTTGCGTCTCTAGATACAATACGTCCAATATTTATTCAATTCTTATTTTCAAGAATAATAAAATTTCACGCAAAGCCCCAATTTCAGTTTTTTTTTCAGTTATTTCCAATGTTTTTATCGGATTTAGTAGTTCGCTTTGCATGAGGAATCGATTGAGTCACAGCCCACTGATCCAAAGCGAATCGACCGTATCCCCTCCACAATAAATTTCACTTCACTTTTATTTTATTTACGTAGAAAATTCTCACGTGTTTTCCATTTCACGTACTTTATTAAATCATTCGAACATTGCACCAGTTGATGTAACCAGGAAAAAAAACATTGAGAACACAAAAAATCGTAGAAAAAAGTGTGAATCTTGCCGTTGAAATTTCTAGGCCTGGCAAGTCTAGTAATTAATGAAGAAGGATAAAAAAGAGTTTCAGATACTCTCGGTTACGCTAGGAACTGAGCGTTTAATCTCATCAGGGGGGGTAATGATTAATGATTGATTGAACTCACGTTGATAGCGCAACCTCATTGCATTCGAAGGCACCCTAACGTGTTTATCACAAATAAGGGGTGGGTAATTGTGGGGGCGGGGGGAGGAAGGAGGGGTGGGAGGGCTGATGAGAGTTTAGATTTCTGTGTCTTTCGAGTACTTCTCGATCTCCGGGTAGATCGGTGACATCTCGAGGGTGCTTGGGGCTGATGGAACTGACGCTGGGGATGCACCACTGCTTGAACCGACGTGAAGACGACGGCATAACTCTTCCAGTACCTCGCTGAACAGCATCATGTTCAGGTTTTGGCCTAGGAGGTGGAGAAGGAGAAAATCGCCGACCTGGAATGCCCGGATAATTAGTTAATTCGAGTGTTCAGGGATCGGTGTCAATCATTAGATTATTAATATTAAGGCAAGTTGCGAGTTAACTTGGAGTAATTAAGGTTTAGTTATGTTCATTGAAATTAAACAAATAAAAAAATCATTGATAATCTAAATTTTCAATTGATGAATTGAATAATTGTTAATACGGAATTGTGGATTAATTATTGAGTGAATAATTCTAAATTTCATGAAAGGATTTACGATTCACCGAATAATCGTCAATCTTCCGAACTCAATTATTGATTCAGGAAATAATTGGGAATTTGAATATTGAATTCACTAGCGAAGTGGTAAAACGGTACAAGTCAATTTTGACTATTGTCCAGTTTTCACTGCATATCTTGGAATCTAAGGGAGATGGCGAAATTTTCGTAATAACAGTTGTTGTAGCTCTCAATCGGCTCTACAAAAAAGGTTATAATAAAAATTTTGCCATCTCCCTTAGATTCGGAAATATTCGTCAAAAACTCAACTGAGAGATAAGTCGACTTAAACTGTTTACCACTTCGCTACTGAATTGATGATTAATTTACTAACTTAAAAATTGTTGGGTAATATTAAACAATTTACCAATTCAACATTTAATTTTAATTTAAAAGTTATGATTATGCTGATGTCTGGAATGCTATGAATGTTAATTACAGTTTTAGGGGAGTTGAGCATGTCGCAATTTATTTCAGGAATTACATGAGCTTGAGAAGAAGGTACTTGACATTATTATGTTAATCTACTCGTTTTACAGATATTTTGAAAATTATTGGAATGAAATTTCTCATTCTATAGAGGATTTAAAAATGCAATTGTTAGTTTGTCAAAGATGTCTTCTGAATGGAGGGGTTTTGGAAAATTTTTCAAAAGGTATTTTTGTGAGTATTCCATGAGTTACAAAAAAAGCTCGCTACATAATTCATTCATTGAGGAGATAATACTAAAAAAATACTTTTCGTTAAATAATCTCTTTGAAATTTTTTCATAATTGAAATAAGTGGAGAACTTAATCTTTGAACGTAAGAAATTCAGAAAAGATCATCAGAAGATCATTTTTATAAATTTTCAATGATCTTTAAAAGAATATGTTTTGACATCTAATCCTGAAATTCCCCTTTTTTCACTATTTTCTTCATCCCATCAAATTTTCAATAAAAAAGCTCTTTCGATTATTCCCACATCTACTCATTTCCGAGGCAGAACCTGCATAAACTCTAGATTTTATCTGCTTCAGCTCCTCGTTAAAACCCCAGAAAACTTAATTAAATTCCTCTCGACCCCACGAATTTCCATAAAATAAAAATACGAATTAATTCCGAGGATTCATTAAATCACATTTCCTGAAAAAAAAACTATTCACCTGGGTCTCTCTGACGAGTGCACTGGCCCCGGATGACGTGCTGAACTTGAATCTCTTCTTGAGAATAGTCTCCCTCGTGCTTGGTAATAGAACAACAGCTATACTGTAGAGCAATGCCAGACCCGACATAGCCGCAAGTATGATGAACCAGAACCACAGGAAAATAAATATCTTCTCATTGAGAATATTCAATGCGAGCACACAAAGAGCATCGAGTTTCTGAATTGTTCCAGATGCACCAAATTTGTGGAATGTGCACTTTGTAATTCTGGGAAAAATCTCCACCATTGGATCACTTCTCTGCTCTTGATTCATGTTGCTGAATTTGATAACTTCACTTCCATAAGTCAAGAATGCTCCACCGAGGAAAGTATCGACGAAGAAAATATTTCCAACCTTGAGGGGGAAAAAATCTCATTAGGAAAAACTTGAGACGAACTTCAGAAGGAAACTTTACTTCGTTAAAATGAAAGTGAAACGAATGAGAAGAAAATTTTTAACTGACGTAAAAAAGATTTAATTATGACGAGAGAAATAATTGAGTTGATTTTTTTTTCATTAATTAAAAGAAATTAGCTACAACAAAAACAAACGAGAAAACTGGGAAAAATTTATTTTGACAATGATTAATAAATTTAATTAAGAATCAAACGACAAACAATAACGAAAATATTGAGAAAAAATGAATAAGTAAATAAAGAAATATTTCCAACATTAAAAAGGAAAAATGACATTAGGAAAAACTTGAGACGAACGTCAAACAGAAACTTCACTTCGTTAAAATGAAAGTGAAACGAATGAGAAGAAAATTCTCAACTGAAGTAAAAAAGATTCAATTGTGACAGGAGAAATAATTGAGTTGATACTTTCATTCATTAATTCAAATAACTAACAATAAAAAATAATTTGGTTGATAATTTTCTTCATTAATTGAAACAAAGTAATTGCAAAAAAATCATTGCAAACAAGAAAAATTGAAAATGAAAAAATGAGTTTGAAAACAATGACCGAATTTAATTAAAAGTGAAGCAACAAATACTGACTAAAATTTCGAGAAAAAAATGTATAAATAAATTGAGGAAATTTTCTAATCCTAAGGAAATTGAAACGAATGAGAAGAAGATTCTGAAAGATTTAATTGAGTTGATACATTTATTTATTTATTAAAAGAAATAACTCACGAGAAAATATTGCAAACGAAAAAAATTAAAAGTGCAAAAAAAATTGAATTCCAAAAAAATTACGAAATGCAATGATAAAAAAATGGAAGGAATGGAGTACTTACAACATTGATAAAGTTGAGAGCTTCGCAGAAGAAGTAGCCAGCAGCATAACTGTTATGCAAATGAAGAGTCTCCATAATGTACTGAACAAGCTTGGAGGCCCTGGCCTGCCTCTCCTGCTTGGACTCGACCATGGCCCCTCGCATGCCCTCGGAGATCATCCTGACTTTGCCCTCCTCCCACTGTTTCCACATCCAGTGGGGAACGTAGAACAAGAGCCCCTGGAAGAACAGCATGAACGGAACCCACTGGTAATACGAGTGGTATCTCTTCTCGCCAATGTCAGTGCCCAGTCCTGGATGGGCCACTTGGGTTCCAATTTGCTTCATCTGATTTGCGGGAAGGGTGTAGGTGTAGGTTACCCAACAGAAGGTGTTTATCACGTGAGCTTCGAGGGAAGAGTCGGCTATGCAATTTATTGGTTCGCCTGGAAGACAAAATGAATAGTCATTGCGGTTTTTCTCAAATTATTTTATTGCATTCGTCAAACATCGGATTATTTCATTAATTTTGGCGATAGAAAATATCAAAATGGTCGAAAATTAAATGAAAATTGATTTTTGCGTCCGAATGGGCGCTTTGTGATCGATTTTTCGATTATCTAATTTTGCTTAGAAATGACTTGGAATGTCATGAAACGTCGAGATATTATGTTTTTAGAGAATGCCTGTGTGTACGTCCGTATGTGCGTGCAAAATTCTGGCAATTTTTTTATAAATTTTCACAAAAATAGGACTAAAGTGATAGATAAAAATCTGAAATTTTGGTTCATAATTGGTATTGTTTGGGAGCACATCTGGGCGAAATTTCAGCTTAATCGATCCAGTAGTTTTTGAGATACAGCGATTCCGAAAAAATTTTCTTTTCTCAATATCTCGAAAACTACTGCATCAAATGAACTTTTTGGCGTCAAAATATTCTTTATGATAATATCTATCGAATCGGACCACAATATGCGTAGCTAACTATTGCGAGTCGCCCAGTAATTGACATTTTTCATTTTTGTGGTAAAATTGATGTGAACACGATAACGCTTGAAAAAATTGAGATAGGAAGTTGAAATTTGGTAGGATTCTAGCTCTTACTATATTACAGGCTGGGATTTCAGATGGGCGAAATCGAATGAGTAGTTTTAAAGATATTCAATTTTTTGTATAAAATTATATTGTTCAATATCTCAAAAACTATTCATCCGATTTCAATTTTTTTTCAAAACATTCGTCTTGATGTCTCCTATCTAGTTCTTCCAAAATATGTATATCCGTTCCTACAAAGTTTACGAGATATTGGCATTTTTCTTCTTTTTTTTTGTCTGAAAGTTGCTTTGACGTTCAATTACATGAGTGAAGGATGTGGTAAAATTCTAAAATGTTGAGGACTAGTTGGTATCATTGAGTTGCACTCCTGTGTAAAATTTCAGATCGATCGATTCAATACTTTTTGAAATCGAGCAGTTCATGTAAAAACGTTTTTCGCATAAAATGACATATCGTTGTTCTATCATCGATTTTCACCTGGAAACATTTCTCAAAAATGGGGTTGTGTCGATATAGGCATATCCCACTGGATAAAACCGAAATTTAATTCTCAATTGTAGAAGGCCAAACCTTTCCAGAATCAGATTTTTTCAAGAAAAAATCTTTTTTTTTTTCAATTAAAAAATAAAATTTCTAGGAATGGATTCGGAAGCTTACTACCAATGGAATTGGTAGAAATAAAAAATGAAAATATGACTTCTGACAGAAAGACTCGGCCCGCTGCTTGTTGATTCAAAACATCGGATTATTTAACTAATTTTAGCGATAAAAAAATCAAAACGTTTAAGAAATTGAGTGATTTAATGTATTTAAAAGCAATTATTAAGACCAGAAGATTTAAAATGCAATTAATTATTGAAAATCTCCAGATAAAAGTTGATTTACCCCCAGAATATCATATATGAAGACCAAAGAGCAACTGATAAAGCCGCCTTGACGACTGAAATAAACCTCGTAATCCCCCGACACATGTAGAAGAGCAAACAGGTGGTGAACAGCTTAGAAGACACGAGTGAAAACCTGCGTCACTGCTATTCATAAACCCAAAGTGCTCCTTCATTCGCAGTTTCCCTTGTTCCCTGGTGAAAAAAAAATGCCCCATTACATTACTCCACTTACCAATCAAGTTGTTGGCAGTAACGATGATGCAACAGGCGAACAGAATGGCCGATGTAATTCTGTAGTGCGCCCTGAAGACTATATTATCGATAATGGCCTTGTCTATGAGATACCTCACTTTCACGAAACCGGCCACTGCCGAGACAAGACCGAACACCGCCATCCTGGATGTGCCTCAGTGGCTGCAATGAAAAAGGAACAATTGTTAGAGATAATGGGCAAAAACAATTCTGGATAAATTGGGTAAAAATAGCAATTGGTTTCGAGAATTTTGTGGAGTTTGGGTGAAAATGGTGGAGTGGAAAGATGAAATCTTGGGATTCTTCATCAACTTGATTTCTTAATTCTAAAAGAAGAAACTGATAAAATATTTTGTGAGAAATACAAATTCACAAATTTACTGAAATGAAGAAATTGAGTTTCGATTGAACGTGGATGTGCCTCAGTGGCTGCAATGGAAAAGGAACAATTGTTACAATGGGCAAAAACTATTCTGGATAAATTGGGTGAAAATAACGAATTGAGAAAGTTAAGGACAATTGTGCAGGGATTTCGAGAATTTTGTGGAGTTTGGGAGAAAATGGTGAAGTGGAAAGCTGAAATCTTGGGAAAGATGGAAAGAGGAAATTCTGGGATTCTTCATCAACTTGATTTCTTAATTCTAAAGGCAGAGACTGATAAAATATTTTGTGACAAATACAAATTCACAAATTTACTGAAATGAAGAAATTGAGTTTCGATTGAATGTGGATGTGCCTCAGTGGCTGCAATGAAAAAAGAACAATTGTTAGAGACAATGAGCAAAAACAATTCCGGATAAATTGGGTGAAAATAACGATTGAGAAAGTCAAGGACAATTACATGGGGATTTCGAGAATTTTGTAGAGTTCGAAAGGAAATACTGTCAGGAGGAGAAATCTTTTTCTTCTGGACTTCTTCATGAACTTGATGTTTTTTGTAATTAAAAATACATTATCTTATGAAATATTTTATGAGACAAAAGCTTAGTGAGATAGAACGGTAATAAAGGGCACAATTCAGTAGATCTATCTCGATTCAGTGGATTTTTTACTTTTACAACATTCAATGAGAACCAAAACACCTATTGGATATACTGGTTGCAAAACAATTCCACATGAATTAAAAGGAAATAATGATTCATGAAGTGCAGAGAGAAACTCAAGGACTCAACTTTTTCAGTTCAATATTTATCTATAGAAAAATTCTGGAGAACAATGTGGAAATAATGGGAAACTTTGCGGATCAAAGATCAATTGTGTGGGAATCTCAAGAAAATTATGGAGTTTGAGGTATTGGAAAAGTGATTTTCTATAAACTCGATGATTTTTATTATAAACAGAAAATCATCTTATGAAATACAAAATACAAAATCACCTTTTGCGAATGTCTTCATGAGAGACAAGAAATTACTAGAATAGAGAGACGCAAAACGACAAAATTTCGCCATTTAGGAGAAGCTTCACTTCCCGTACAAAAAAAATTCATAAAAAATTTGCCATCTCCTTCAATTTCTGAAAAATTCATCAAAATTTATTCCAAAGTTTCGTCGTCTTCACAGGAAAAAAAATAATGTCACGTGTGCAAGAAAAAATTGTGTCGCAAGACTTTAACAAACTCCTAGCATTCTTCATTTGAGCTTTTATTAATCAATTAACCGACAAATGCAATCATCAATTACTCACAGTCAATTTCATTCGCACCTCAGTTTTTTGAAAATATCTAAAAATCCATTAGACATTGAAATTTCTATTCAAATCCAATCTGTAGTTCTACATCCCCACAAAAAATCGTCATAAAAATTTCCTCATTTCCTTCAATTTCGGAGAAATTCATCAAAAACTCATCCCGAAGTCTCGTCGTCTCCGCAGAAAGAATAATAATGTCACGAGTGCAAGAAAAAATTGTGTCGTAAGACTGCAACAAACTCCTGGCGTTCTTCATTTAAACTTTTATTAGTCAATTAATCGAGCGAGTCTGTGTGACTGCGCGTGCCACAGTGCCGAGGAGGTCAATCACCAACTTGAGAAGAAACGAGTCAACAGTTGATTCACCCCGGATTTTCTCAGCCACTGGATTTAACTCGCGAGAAACTCGAATCACCGGTTCTAGAGCTACCGGAGAAACAGCGAGTGCAACCTTTTTACTTCCAATTTTCATTTCTCCTTTATTCTCATCCTGCGGTTGGAGGAGTCCAAGCTCCTCAGGTATTGTGTTACAAATGAACAAGGCCAGCGGTTGGAGTGTGAGCATTTACTCGAGAGCGGCCTTCTGTCTATTCGAGGCAATTGAATCGAATAAGTAATGAGTATGGTGATGGCTTATTTTTAGAGGAAGGTTTTTTGAAAGCGTGGGAAGATTTTTCGGTGATTTTTGGGATTCGGGTGAGAGTTCTTTGACCTGTGGGGAGCGTTAACTACCTGTCGTGCCCATGGGAATGAATGAATTTGGAGATTATTTTCAGTTGTAAACTCTAGTATGCTTTCGGAATGTTGATTAAAGTAGAGGAATGGTTCTGGAGATGGAAAGGTGTTTTTTTTTTAATTCAATTTCATTTTTTGCGGGTGCCCGGTGGCTTGGCGCAGTGGGTAAGTTCGTTGCCTCACATGCGAAAGGTTCCGAATTCAAATCCCGGCCGGGTAGAATGGTGCGATCTAACCATTTAAAGTCTTGATCATCATCGCAGTATACCCTACCCGGGTCAAAGCGATGTAAAATAACGATAAAAAAAAATTTGCGGATGTCTTTGAACTGGCGGGTTTTGAAGGAGTCTTAAATTGTTTTTTTGTGGGGGATTTGGTGACTTATGAAGAAGATTTAATGATCTGATCTGATTTCATGATTTGATCTGATTTAGTATTTTATGTTTAATGATTTCACATTTCAATTCAGAATTTTGTGAACATCTGAGGAAAGAGTTTCAAATAAATTTATGTAGGAAGAGGTTGGCTGAAGGCCCTCGGGCGATGGCCTATTGTAAGAAAATTATTTTTTTGTTTTTTTTTTTGCAATAAATTTTGTTAAAAATTAAATTAATAGGAAGAGACTTTTTGAGCTGAAAATTAAGAAGAAAACTTAGTGCGAAAAATTAATGACAATAATTGAGTGTGACGATGAAATTTAGTATTTTGGGAATATCTTTGAACGGAAAGGGTTTAGCAAAATTTATCAGAGGATAAAGCATTTGATGATTCATTTAATTTTTTACGAATATCTTTGAACTGGTGGATTTTGAAGAATTCATAAAATAGTATTTTTTGTGGAGGATTTAACGATTTATGAAGAAATTTTTTTTGACATTTCGCCCCAAAATCAGTCATTACCAAAATTATTGCAAAATTCAATTTGATTTTTTGCGAATATCTTTGAACTAGTGGATTTTGAAAAAGTTATGAAGTGGAGGAGGATTTGACGAGTTATGAAGAACGTTTTATGAAATTCTGATCTAATATCGTATTTTACGTTTAACGATTTCCTGTTCCAATTCTGCATTTTGTGAACATCTTGTGAGGAAAAAGTTTCAAATAAACTTCAGTACTAAGAGATTTTTTGTAAAAGAAATTCGATGCTGACGCCAAAATCCCTTATAAACGCAATAATTGTAGAATCAACAAAAATAAAATTTGACGATGAATGTGACGATTAAGTAGAAGATTATTATAGTATGAAGAATTCAATAATCGACAGCTTCACAATTAGCAATTATTCCGAAAAGAATCGTCAGACCCCAAAAATATTCACTTGACATTTTCTCTTTCTCTTTGAACCTCAGAAATAATCACAGATCTAGCCCAAGATTCACGTTTAGCGACGGAATCGAGAGAAATTAAATGATAAATGCATTCAATTCAGACAATTAACAATGGCTGAACCAAATAAACGAATAACTAAATATTTAATTAACAAAATCATGAAATTCTCAGTAAAAAGGCCCTTTAACAATTAAATCCTTCCAAATATGGCTTCATCCCAGGATTAATTCCACTAAACCAATTAGCGTTGAACGATTCTGCGACTCACAATGACTCCATTGAAAAGACAACCTTGGGATCGGGAACATTGATTTCCCAGTGCCATCAATATCCTCTCCAGACGCCTCGAGTCCAGCCGGGGACAAATAACCCTCGCCTCGAAAACAGGAAAAGCCGAGAGGAGGAAGATTCATTTCCGGAGGAGAATGGATCAATCCGAAATTGATAATCTTTGCCTGGCTCGACACTCGGGAATTGTGTGAGTCTGTATGGAAGTTTGAGGCCACAGAGGCACGCGCTCCTCCAGCGCGAGCTGGAATTCATGCCGGATGAGTTGAATAATGGTCATTCACTGGCTGAGGCCACTGAGAAGTGTAGTAATCGCGAGTAATGGAGAGTAGGGCTTGAGTCACGAGGTGCTTCATCTAGCTGATACTTTTCTCTGTTGAGATGTTTCCCTTGGAAATAATCTTGAGAGCAAAACGACTTTTCATTGCAGCTCTGGGCCATATTTTGGTCAAGTGCGGGAATGAACAAGATTAATTAACAAGCAGCGCGATAGAAGCCTTTTGACAGATTACGTATGACTGCTACTCTCCACATTTTTTTTTCTCTCACTAGACCTGTGCGCACGCTTATCTATTCATTGTGAAAATGAAGAAATCGAATTTATTAAGGGGAGACTACTATGAGTTTTAAAAGTCGTGGGTTATTGGAGTGAGAATTTTCATACGTTGAAGGTCGATGTATGATCTAAAACGAATAATTAGTGCAAAAAAATTTTTTTTTATTGTTCGTTTTTCCGAAAACGCTTAAAATGCTAAAAACAGGCCTCCAATTTTTGAGCTACAAAAAATTTGTTTTCAAAATTTTCGGAAAAATGTGTGGAACAACAATAACGCGCCAGTTTTTTGGAATTCGACTTCTACACAGCTGATTTCGATTTTTTTCATATAAAAAAATTCACTATTTGTGTAAAAAAATACAAAAAAAGAAAATTTCGCTATGTAAGAAGTGAATTTAAAAAAAACTAGCTCGTAATTGTTATTCCACATATTTTTCCGAAAATTTTGAAAAAAAAAATCCTTCGTAGCTCCAAAATTGGAGGCCCTGGACTGTTTTTGGCATTTTAAACGTTTTCGGGCAAACGAACAATGAAAAAAAATTTTTTCTACGTATGAAAAGTCTCACTC